CGAATTAGTAATAATATAAGTCGAACAATTAAAGGATTTATAAGAGTAGTTTACTTTCAATCTAAGATTTATATTATTTAGAATAATAGTGTATTATAATACGAAATGTAGTATAAAACCTACACTTAAAAAGAAGAATAAAGTTTATTTACTACAACAAAATATTGAAATTAAGAAATTAAGTAATAAACTTGATCATAAAAAACTAGAATTATTTAAGATTAATAAAGTAATAGAAATAATTAATTATCAATTGAAAATATTAAATACAATAAATATCCACCTAATATTCTATATATCCTTACTCAAACCAGTACCATCAGGAGTGCTAAATGCGCCATTTACAGAAATCGAATTAGTTAACCCAAATGTCATATACAACGTTGAAACAATACTAAATTGTAAATATGTTAGGGGCAAAATTAAGTATTTAATCAAATAATTAGACTATCTATATTTGGAGAATATATAAGAATTTAAAAAGGATTTTAGCTGTTCTGAGAAACTACAGGTATTTTACCTGAAGTACCCATATCTGTTAGTAAAGTCTTAAGCTTAGTATTAGATAATAGAGGCAACAAAGAATTGAAGAAGTCGAAGGAGGGGAAACCATTAGGAATGGGCGCAGCAACGTCTGCAATTCCTTTGTCCATATGCTCCTTTTCCAGCTTTTCCTTTTCTTTTAAAATATCAAGCTCATCCATAGAACTAAAACCAGCAGCTATCATTTTCTTTTCTCGTTCGTTCAGAAATCGTTATTGTTTGTGCAAACGAAGAATTTTAGCCATGGCCTCTTCCTCTTCGTTGCGAAGGCGCTGGCGCTGACAATCAATGGACTCCCAGTCGGATACGGAAGGCATTTGATTTCGCTCTTTCACATCGCAGGTTTTGCCCTGCCTACAGCATTTAGCACAACGGCCAACATTAAAACCAATTTTCATTCCAATACAACATTTATTGGATTTTTTACAATAAAAGCATACAACTATTTCGACTCCTAACCTTTCAATCCACTAACCAAGGGATGTTTGTTCTATTTGTTTTTTGGTATGCTTAATTGACATATTGAAAGAAAGAAGTAGTTAGTTAATTAGTGAGAAATTGATATAAGGGAACCCTACTATATAGACGCTTAGAACAAGCGCTAGTCTAAAAAGGGGATAGTGTTACAGAGGTACCCGCACCACAACATGGATTATAAGATAAACCTAAGGCCTTGATGTTGGAACCTACGAAAACAGTATTATAGGGATAATTGAATTAAAGGGTAATTAAAGATAATGGTTATAGGTTATCTAATAAGTATAGATTAGATAAGTAGTAGTATCATATAGATCACAAGGTAAATATTATATAATGAATAAATAGGATAGGCAAGCTATTTAGACTATCTATAAATAAATAAAATAAACAATCTACTCAAGTTATTTAAACAAAAACAAAGATTTATATAAAGAGAATAGATTTCATTATAATGTAGAGCTTCGTGCTTAAGAACAATTATTAATTTCATTATTATAGTTATAAGAATTATAATTAGTTACAACCTTATTGAATTCCTATTTAAAGTTTAGTCTAAACCATTTTGAGAGATCTTTAGCTACTTCCACATGACCCTAGAGGCAGCTCCCGTAACACATTCGGTGATATGATCCACTTGTATATGAACCACGTTATACCTTTTTTAAATAATCTTTAAAATATTGATTATTAATTATTTCATTTAGGTTTTTATTATTATTATTATTATTATAGAAGTTAGTAGGAGTAAATGTAATAATTGAGATAGATTCTTTTCAATTTCAAATGTTTTAATATGGATTAAATAGGTAGGATTATATCTAATAGAAAGCATTTTTGTATTGAATATATTTGTTTTTCTTATATAATTGAATTCTTTTAGTAAAGGAAAACTTGGGTATTCTGGTGTAAGGTAAGATTGGGGTGTAATTGGCTTTGTTCAAAGGAATATTAAAGGTATTAAGGATATTAAGATTACTAATATTCATTGAATTATAATTTCAAAAGTAAAATGGATTTTGTAATAAATATAAGGCTTTAGATTTACTAGAATAAAATAATATAAGGAATTTATTTACTATATATATAATCAGTTATTATATAATCTAAATAAAGTTGGGATATAAATAGAATAATGAAAATTATTAAGAAAAACAATTTCTAAGAATAATATTAAGTTTATTACAAAAGGTTGAGATTTTATTCAAATTAGATTAGTTCTAGCCTTTTACTTTATAAAAAGTTTTTTCAAATTTCGTAATATAAATATATAAAGAATCGATTCCTTATTTAAAATTGAATAGCTTATTTTCAACTTTCTATATTTTATTTGAATTGTTATAGACACATATAAATTGATCTAGAATTATTATATAATTTAAAAGAATATTTTAATTAAAAAAAGAAAGTTGAAGTAGTATTATAATTTATATATAAGATTTAAGATTGAAATAAACATAATAAAATTAAGTAATAGAATTGTTAATTATAATATTGTTTATTTATAGTTTTACTTAAATCAAAAATAATCATATATCAAATTTCTAAAAACTATTATTGAACTTTTTGAAATTAAAAAGAAAGGGTTTTGGTTGAGAAGGTATTTGAGTGGTAAAAATATACTTGAAAATTAAAGAGTATAGAAATAAGATTTCATTTTATTAATAAATCATTTTGCTACGAAGTTCTATAATTGTGAGGTTTATTGAATTATAATTTGTAACTAAGAAATTAAGGATAAAAAAAGAAACAACACCTTTAAATAATATCAAAAAGATTTATATATAAATAAAAAAGTAGGAGTGATATACTTAGATAAAAGTAAGCGGAGTATATATAAAAGCTTTATTTATAAATATATACTAATATTATTCCATTTCTTATTTAAAAAAGCTTTTAATAATATAATAAATCTAATAAATATTTAAAAATTAATCTTAAAATTAAAAGCTATAGAATTAAAAAGAGTATGCTATAGAGCTATATATGCAATCGGCTTGAAGCTTAGTATTGTACTAGCCCGATCGGACACGATCACGTGTATACCGTGACAATTAGAATATTAATATCCCTATAAATTTAAATTAAATTAATACTTTTCAAATTAAAATTAGAATATTAATATCCTTATAAATTTGAATTATACTAATACTTTTAATTGAGATTAGAATATCAATATTCTTATAAATTTAAATCAAATTAATACTTTTTAAATTGAAATTAAAATAATAATATTTTGAAAATCAAAATGATTTGAAATAGTATGTACTAAATCCCAACTAGTACTTTTGATATTTGAGGTACTAATATATGAAATGATACTATATAGGGTTATTACCGTAATAATAAAGGTTCTTACTAACTCTTCTTTATCTCATTACATTAAAAAGAGAATAAAACCTTTCATTATAAATAAAACGCATTCGAACTATTCTTTATCGCCTTTAAAGGTCTAGATAGAGACTATTCCGTACGAATATAATAAATTTTTATCTTAATAATAAATTTAATATTTAATAACATGAGTAATAAAAGTCTAACATTAATAACATAATGGTTTTTAAGCGTTATAAATTATTACATTAAGATTATAATATATAATAAATATATAATATAAGCATGATTTTTATATGATTTTATATCTTTTTCAAATATTTAAAATTCTTCAAAATCTTCAAAATTCTTTTAAAACTCCTATTAAAATTCCTTCAAAATCTCTACCTCATTATAGATACTATAACGTGTTTTATTAGTATACGACTTATATTACTATACGACCTACTTTTATTCTAATACCTACTTTTATAAACTTATTAAGTAATTAATTAATATACGAATCAAATCGAGATTCTATTTATACATTATAGTGAATTAATTTATGTATTCTATAAGTCTAAGCTTCTTATATAGTACTATTTATATAGTACTATTCCTAATCGAGCCTAGTCTACCCCCTGCTAAGCGCATTACCTATAATAAAATAATTATTATTATATTTTATATTATATATCGATTAACTCTCCTTTATAAGAATTTTATTAATTAAATAATAAAGCATTAATATTTAAACTTTAATTCTATAGTATAATAAATATTGAAATGTCGTTCTTTAAATATAGTCATACTATTATCGATTCGAGAGCTGTATTGTGAGTGAGAAATTTCATTGACTGGCCACTTTCGTATAAGCTTCGAGTGTTTGAGCAAAGCTTATATGTAAGGTTAATTGGGCTAGCGTGCATCTTAGTATAGATCGTTACATCTCCCCACATTCTCGGATGCGAATGAATACTAATAATCACCGGTACTTTCATGCAACCACACCCTCCGTCGTATGTTCACGCCCTCGATAAGTGGGCTAATCTCAAGAAATCAAGTGCTGTAGGGTTTAGACCCTAGCTTCAATACACTGGCATCCACTTAAAGTTTGTCAAGTCATATGCGCAAAGGACAGAAAACAGTGAGGCTAAATGTTTAAACCCACTGTTTAGAACTTGCCTGCCCTTGTTTCAACTCAAACCCCGAGTCCGAACTCTCATCTCATGAGGTTCGGCTTTGGGTGATCATCGGTCCGAATCTATGCATGATGAAGATGGATGGTTAAAGAGAATTCAAAGTCGACAGCTACGGATACCGTCAAGGTGTTATTGAGTTCTAAGGTGGGGAGGCAGGAATTCTGATTGGCGGCTTTCTACGGTATAATAACGGGTGACATATAAGAACACCGATGCCAGGATGGATTGTGTACGATTTTGGGCAGGAAGTTGTCGATGCAGGTATCTATCCCGGCTTCATACCAGCCCATGGTGAGATCGAGATTATGCGAAAAACCCGAATAGATCGTCGACTGTGGGAAATGTGTATAAGACGACTTCTCTCAGCTGAAAGATACTCTCCATATCAACTACCTCTCCAACGACATCCAAACCACAACCTACACTTCACCAATCTTATCCAAAGTCCTTTTCACTACCGTCAAAATGGTCCGCATCTCCTCTATTGTCATGTACTTCCTTGCGAGCGCTTTATCAGTGCAAGCATGCACCTATTGTCAGTGCGAGTTCTCAAATGGTGATCACTACTGTGTCTACTCGGTAAGTCCTAGAAGGCTTTAAGCCTATCTATGATGGTGCAATCGCCCTGTGTTTTATCATTGTGAATAGGATGCTGAAATTGGCAACCTCGATTGCCCCACCTATTGCGCTCAAGCTCATCGCGCAGATGGAACAGATAATGCAGATGGGCCTGGGACTGCATGCACAGCTGGAAGATACAAGTGCGCGAGTGCATTCACAGCTTTGGACCGTACCCCATGTCACAAGCTATAAGGCTTCGGAGCGGATGGAGAGTTCTAAAAGATGCTTGGGGGAAGGGTTCCATGGGGATCGCACTATTGTGTCTCAAAACTCCCCTCATTTTGTAATTTTTGCAGAGTCGGATGGTCGAGAGTACGGGGTAGAGGGTAGAGGATAATCAGATGCTGCGATCAAAACGATGACTTCACAATTTCTGCTTGAATAATTTCTTCACCGTGAGACATAACGCTAGTTACAATGAGTTCACAACTGCCACAGCCAGAAAATAGTGATGTCAAGTCTAATGAATGCTCAAATTTGTCTTTCTTTTCCGAGCATGTATGTAAATTGTAATGAAGTTGTTTCTTGCCTCTTTTTGTGGTTTCCGATAAGTGTATCAGACACTGATCTCTTACTTGGAAAGCTGGTTCCGTAACCGTGTAGATTGTCTTCGTGAATTCAGGAGTACATCATGAGATTGGGAGTATTGACACAAATGCACTCAATAAAATCAAGTGTGGGTGCGGATTAAAACACATTCATGTAGACAAAACACAACCCATAGATTCCTTCTATGTACGCTGTTTCTATGCCTAGGTATTGTTTATGATATGTCCTTTATTAAGAGCAGATGTATCTTACATTCAAAGATACGATAACTAGTAGGTAAAATATATATGTATATGAATGAATATCAAAATCAAGATCATAAATAATATTAATGAAGAAGATAAATGTATACTATGTAGATAGTTATATATTATGAAATTAACCGATACATACACTCGATTTAATAACTCTTTTTTTTCATATCTCATTAACTTAGATAGAATTTCAATTGCAATTTATTATTATATATCTTCAATTTAAATGAACTCTTTAGAATAATTTATTTCTTAGTTAAATAAACTAATATACTGTTACGGGAGCTGCCTCTAGAGTTATATGGAAATGGCTAGAGATCTTTTAAGATGGTTTAAACTAGATTTCAAATAGGAATTTAATAAGGTTATAATTAATTACAATTCTTGTAACTATAGTAATGAAATTAATGATTGTTCTTAAGCATGAAGCTTTATATTATAATAAAACCTATACTCTTATATAGACCTTTATTCTCTATTATTTTATTAATCCTATTCATCAAGAGTGATAAGAGTGATAGAATCCCATTAATCCTATTGATAACAATTGATAAGATCGATAAAACGACCCATCACGTAACACTCCTTTTATGACTTTTAATGGTACTACTGCTTATTTAATCTATACTTATTAGATAATCTATAACTATTGCTCACCTTATATTTACTATAAAGTAAATAATAATAAAAAATAGGTATTTATCTTTTAATTATTAATTACTTATCTGATTATCTCTATTTTTAATTACTTTTCAATTCAATTGTCCCTATAATACTGTTTTCATAAGTTCCAATACCAAGGCCTTAGGTTTATCTTATAATCCATGTTGCGGTGCGGGTACCTCCGTAACATATACTAACTTTCAGATGTTCTCAAAGCAAAATTATTAGATTAAAGATAAATATAAAATTAAAATATTTCTAAACTATTTTTAAATATTTTCGAACTTTTATCTCGAAATTTTCAACTTAATTAATGAGAAATTAAAATACTTAAAACTTACACTAATTTCACAATTAAGTTTTAAATTGAATTGAATTCTATTTAATAAAGATATTATAAATTAAAGTTGAAAGATATAATAATTAGATGTTTTTATTAAAGCACTGAAATTTAAGGTTTTGAAAACACGTTAACGTGGTTCATATACGAGTGGATCATATCACCGAATGGATCACTTCAAAATCACACCAAATTCAAGGTTTTATTAATATTCATATTTTAATAATAAATCAATATTTTTTGAGAAAGAAAAAGCTATTAATAATAATAAAATAATCAATATTCAGAAATCGAATTTTTATATAAAAGTTCTTGTTATATTACTGAAATTGTTATGCTTTTCATTATAGAGAAGTTAATTTCATAATAACTCTTATATTCATTCGAATTTTCAAAATATAATTAGATTTTTAAAATTCTTATAGATTTAAATATTATATATCAGATTTCTGAGATTTTATATTAATAAATAAGGGAAGTGCATGGTTACACACAGACGAATTTTGTATGTGAAATGGAGTGATCCATTTGGTGATATGATCCACTCGTATATGAACCACGTTATTAAATTGAGTATAACTACAAATCGTAGGAGCACATCACGTGTATATGCATTCATCATTCTTAGGTATCCTTGGCCTATTATCTTTCACTCTGGAATTATGTGTGCTAAACGTTGATTTATGAATGAAACATTACTTTATTGCAAGGAACCAAGGCCTGCTTATATTTTCGAGTATTTTTACACAATGGAAGGAAGTTAGTATAATGCGGATTGTTGTCGTCTCTAGTGGAACGATTCTGTCGGGTGGTTTTAGATAATTTACGATACTGCCATTGGGAAATTCAAAAAACATCGATTGATGAGTATCATAGTGTTGCATGCCGTCAACCAAATATAAAGCTCAGTGTACCTTAAGTCTATTATTCAAAGGTGGCCTGCGCCAGGTATGCGGCTGGATCTCCCTGAGCATATTATTTTGATTGCGTCTATGAAGTAGAGTATTTCGAAGAGGAAGTACAAAATGGTTTCCCGAGATGAGAGATGAGAGTTCTGAGAATTCCTACGTGGTTTTCTTTTTCCCCGCGAATGGGTTTACCTAGACACTTCTAGTAATAGCTAGCTTGTGATGTGAAGACAAGTCACAAGTGTAGCATATATCTATCATGAAGCGCTATATCATGGCAAACCACCCATGCCTAGGTGTTTTTATCTCCGATCTAGACTAGCATCAACAATGAGCAGATACGTTCAAGTCCCGAGGTATGACTTATGAAAGACTTCCATCATCACCTAGCTAATTGCACCAACTAGTCGATTCTGGATATGCCAGTCATCCAGACTGTTCCAAGAAGATATAACTTTTCAACATGTATTCTCCTATGATATGGAAGGGGATATCTTTCTTGATTTGAAGTGAGATCAAATATTTCGCGCAGCAGCACTTTTATGATCACTTGAGAATATTTGCGTCGTCAAGAACAAATTCACATTTCTACAAACTCATACTACATATCCGTGAGTAGATATTTGAGATTCTCGAGGATAGTAGATCATTCCTTGATGATAGCTAATTGCGATTAACCTAGTTGAAACTTATGCAACCAGAGACAGTGGTATATATTTTGGCTTTTCTCCGGTTTCCAGAGCAAAATGATTGATTCTCCAGGTTACAGCATAGACATCTGATATTTTACAAAGCTATGGCAGAAATCTTTTATAGGTAAAAGGGCTAATAGTCAAGTGAAATAGGACACTGCTCTTGAAGGATGATATTCCTTGCAAAAAGACTCCATAGATGGAGTAGAATATTTCGGTATATTCTCTAGTCGTAATTAATAGGTAGATATTGATCAACGTAGTCACTTATGATTAGTATTGGACTCAAATTTATCTCCATTTTCAAAAGAAGCAACATCACATTGCTTTTGAACAGTCAGATTATCTCATCTAGTCTCTAGATCCATGAGAATACAGCAAATTTTAAATCCATGTGAGCCTATTCAGACTATCTTGATTCTCCGATGCCATCTACTATTACAGTCTTTATGATCGAAAAATGAACTTCTATAAGTCAACTACCCCACTTTCCGACCACCCCCTCTTTTCGACCACCTCAAAAACCACACCGCTTTGAGTAATTATAAAATTTATACTTTGAATAACTCAACAATGCTTTAATCAATTGATTTGAAATTTTGATATTATTATAATTGTGATATGAAGAATAGATATACCGAAGAAGATATCGCAGAGGCTCTTAGAGCGATTACAAATGGAGCAAGCATACGAAGAGCTAGCTTGGATTATGGTGTTCCACGTACCACACTTCACGATCGAATATATGGTGGAGTTTCGCATCAAAAAGGCGCCCAAATACTTCAAAAGTTATCTCCAATTCAGGAGAATCGACTAGCAGAATGGATATTAGTACAGGAAGCTCTTGGTACTAGCCCTACACATCGTCAAATCAGAGAGATGGCAGAGCACCTCCTTATTGTACGAGGGGAGGATCCCTCACTTGGAAAGAAATGGATACATAGCTTTTTTCGAAGGCATCCTAATATTGGAACTAAGAAGCAACATCAAATCGATTCTGCACGAGTTTCAGGTGCTACATCTGATATTATTAAGAAGTGGTTCCGGAACCTCGCAATCCCTGAAATCAAGGCTATTAAGCCGGCCAACAGATGGAATATGGATGAAGCAGGTATAATGGAGGGTCAGGGTCTTAATGGACTAGTAGTAGGAAGCACTGATCGAAGATTTATTCAAAAAAAGCAACCTGGATCTCGAATTTGGACCTCTTTTATAGAATGCATTTCAGCCAATGGAAAAAGCATTACTCCCCTTGTAATATATAAGGGAAAATCAGTTCAACAACAATGGTTTCCAACAGATTTGACTCTATTCAAGGGTTGGAACTTTACCGCTACAGAAAATGGATGGACTACAGATGCTACAGCTTTAGAATGGCTGAAAAAGATCTATATCCCTCAAACTACCCCTATTCAGCCGGAAAATTCAAGACTCCTCATTTTGGACGGACACGGAAGCCATGAAACTACAGCATTTATGTTAGAATGCTTTAATAACAACATATATCTCTTATTTCTCCCACCACATACGTCACACGTACTACAACCACTCGATTTATCTGTGTTCTCACCCCTAAAAAGTGCATATCGAATCGAACTTAATAAATTAAGTCTATTATCCGATTCCTCACCAATTGGAAAGCGCAATTTCCTTTCTTGCTATCAGAAGGCTAGAATAGAAGGTTTAACTATTCAAAATATCAAGTCTGGGTGGCAAGCTAGTGGTCTTTGGCCCAAAAATATGGCTAAACCTCTTATGAGTCGACTTTTGCTTGAAAATAGCAATAGAGAGGTTTTATCACTTAATCCTGAATCTGATGATGATCCTATTCTTCAATGGAATATATATTCATCGTTTATTCAATGGAAAACCCCTCAAAAAGGAGCCGATATCAGAAAATATAGAGATATAATGATTCAAGAGAAGGAGATCGATTTGCCAACACGAAGATTACTATTTCGCAAGATTATAAAAGGATTCGATGCTAAGGATTATGAACTCTTAGAGGCAGAGAATAAGATTAGAAAGCTAGAATATCAATTAGATGAAGCATTACCTAGAAAAAGGCGAAAGGTTGTGGTATCTCCAAATTCGAAGTTCGCAGGGATTAGAGCTATAAGGCGTACACAAATTGAAGCTGGAGATCGTGAAGATGAGGTAGATGATAGCTCTAGTGCTATAGAAAGTGATTCTACAGGCGATTTCATTGAAGTTCAATAGTTATTGAGTTATTAAAGTTTTAAGTGTAGATAATATGAATTTTTTAGGTGGTCGGAAACAGGGGGTGGTCGGAAAGTGGGGTAGTTGACTTATTCTCTAGTTTTCCAGATTGTGGCATTAACGACTAATCAAATCCAAAATCAAAATAAAATGAGATCCAATTCAAATCCAGTCAACAATATATATGTATCTTTTATTTCGTATTCATTAACAGTACTTATCTTTGTAATAAGAACATTATACCATGAATTGTCTCTACTCAAACCACGCTAGAGTCCAAGGTGCGTGGATTTATATGAGCGTATATCTATCTAATGATCAACCCAATGCTCATACAAAATCTGAAAATCCTATATCCCGTATCCCTAAAAGTGCGCAAAGAAAACTAATCACTCCCAACCCCCCACTCTCACAATTCCCTTAAAAACGACCGTGATCATTGAAGCGTCTGGAATCAGGAAGATGACCTCGAATGCCCAATGAGTTACCAGGAACTTTGTTATCCGTATGATTATTCATAATTCTCAACCATTCTTTATTGTGCTCCTCCTCTGCTTCCTTCTTTGCTTCACCTAAAAGCTTATGTGAATTATCAAACTTATCACTCCAATGAAATCCTCCTTTGCCATCTGGAACCAACTTTCTTGTTGCATCGCCTGCAACAGTAATTCGTGCCTTCTTGATGACATGTTCCTTTTTAGAAGAAGTAGCTGTTGCTTCAGGAGCAGCTCGCTTTCTAGAATTTGAAGCCCGAGTTGGATTAATCGCGGTAGCGACATTGGAGGGGCGAGTTGTTTTTCTGCCTTGATCATAGGCTGAGACACGTCTTTCAGGTGCCTGGACGGAAGCAATGGGTTTCTTGGCAGCGAGAAGCTTTCTGCTATCAACAGTGGGTTTCTGCAGAACGGGAGCTCGCATGGCTTCAGCCTCTCTAGTAGTATTTGCAGCTTCTACTTGAGTCTTCTGACGAGCCTTTTTCTTCTGCATATTGATCTCGGAAGTTTGTCGCGAAATGATTGCATTGGCTTCAGCAACAAGCTCAGTCTGAGCTTTGAACTCAGCAATGTGGCGTTCCTTATCTTCCCTGCGCGAGGTCTTTTCCTGTGCCAGAAGCTTTCTCAAACCATCGTTGGTCTTTTTCTGGTCCTCCAATTGTTTAGTCAGAACTTCATTGGCCTTTCTCTGGTCCTTCAATCTCTGATATTGAGCATCTGTCTTCTTCTTGATCCGAGCTTCATCTTCGCGGCGTTGAATGGCCATATTTTCCTCAAGCTTGCGACGTCTAACATCTGCCTGGTGCAAGCCCTTTTGAAATGCGAGATCTTGTGTCAATGCCTTATTGGCAGCCTCCAGCTCTTGTATAGAAAGTGGGATAGCAGCCATATCTGGAGCAGAAGCAGCAGAAAGAGTCTTGGTGGCCGATGCGAAAGATTCGGTGATGGAAGAAGCAGTCGCACCAATTGAAGGAGGCGACGAAACTGTTGACGAAGAATCAGAAGCAGTCGAGCCAGCTCCAGATAAGGATGAGCGAGCGGAAATGATTGCTTCAGCATCCTTCAGGGCTTGAACACCCGCAGGACCATATTCAAAAGAAGTAACCTTGAAGATTGTAAAGTTATTGTTATTACTCTGAGGAGAAGAGGAATTACCATAATTCAACATAGCATCCATTTCAGAGCTATGTGTGTTAGCGCCATGAGCGATACTGAAGAAATCGGCATCGAATTTCTCGGTATTGTTCGAGGGGGCTACGTTTTGGTTTGGAATGCCTGCCCAGGTGAAGAAGTCATCGAAGCTATCGGTATTTTGTTGTGGAACTGTATTTTCAACAGCTGGATTGTTGCCAAAGGTGCAGTTGGCATCTGCCGTGTATTTGTCGAAGTCGAAAGATTCGCGAATGTCATTGAGGCCCATATTGTTGATTGATGGATCTGGAAAAGAGAGGCCGGGAAGAGAAAGCTCGGGAAGTGGAAGCTGTTTTTGCGAAGGAGCGTCTGCATAGATGGATTTGTATGTATGAGATTTGTAAGCAGCTCTAGGAGCTTGGCCAAATATAGTAGCCGGAACACCAAATATATTGAGCGAAGTGTTGGTCGTAGCAGTGTTAGCAACTGAAAGGCGTTGACTCCAGAATTATCAGCACCGTCGAGAGAATTGGATCCTCGACGACGACGATCAACCTTCTTGGTACGTCTAGTAGCCTTATCAACATGGATATTTGGCATACCAGCGGCAGCATAGTTTGCAGCAGTAAGGGAAGATCCATGGTACCGTTGCGAGGACTCGGAGCCAATTGAAGGGGAATATTGGATGTGCGAGGAAGACTACGAGCTTGTCGATCGAGATATCGTTGAAGACCAATACTGCCAGCAGCTTGAACTTTAGCGAGACCGTGAACAGAAACTGCAGATTCAAACGAAGGATTTTCACTCAATCGTTGACGAAGAGGGTTCTTGGGAGTGGCGGTCTTCTTGCGAGATGGTGTGCTTGGTGATGCGACAATTTCATAATCATCTTGTGAAGCCATATCGGACTAAAAATGTGCATATGGATCGACAGAAGGACCAACTTTGGTTAGTGGAGTAGTTGGCGATCCAAAGTTAGTGGCATCATCGTTGGCGATAGGATTGAAATTGATCATGGTTTACATGAGATCAAATGCAGACTCGGCGGCAGCAGGATTATCCTTCTTAACATATGTGCGCTTGAGAACACCGGCTTTGTTGGTAGGTGTCTTTTGAGAAGCAGTGGTAGGAGGGGTATTCGTGATACCATTGTTCAAGCCAAGACTGCTTTGGTTTCTAAATTGTGCCTCGAAGTACACAGATTGTTTGACTGTGGTGCTGATTAGCAAGAGTTGTGATTATAGCGAATGATTTGACTTACCATAATTATCCCATTCATCTTGTCCGAGATAAGTATAATGATTTCCAGCAGCATGATTTCTGAGCTCTGTAAGGTTCATAACACGCTCAAAAGCACGACTAGGATGTCCGAGAGGGAAGCAAAGAGCGCAGACCCATCCCTTGGTGGTTTGGACGCACTTGATATCGGTGGACTTCTTTTGGGCAGAAGTTGGGGCGCTGTTTGTTTTCTGTGTTGTAGACATTTTGACGTAGCTTTGAAGCAAATTGATGAATAACAAGAAGAATAGGAGGAGATTCACAAAAAGCGTAGATGTGTCGAGTATATCAAACAAATTCGTCGTGATTGACGAAATTTGCGATAAAATTTGTCGAAGGAGTTCTTCCACGTATTCAGTGTGATAGTGACAAGAATTGAGGTCGAGAATAGGATTGGTGAGTTTCTGTTTGGGTTGAATTGTTAGTTAAGATGGTAAGAATAGGTGAGTTGCAAGTTACTGCTGGAGATTCTTTGCACTGATAATGTTGAAGTTCTTCAGTAATTATCAAATAAGATGGAGATTACAAGAATTTTTGTGTCGGTGCAGATGAAAGCTTATAAGCAAAATAGAAAGTGCTCAGAATTCTTAGTGGAAGAAGAGTAAGCCGTGTCTAAATCAGTACGGCTGGTAGGTTGGTACTGTAGACTCTGATGCGGTAGGAGGCAATTCCCCTGGGATTCGCGCTCGACGATGACAAGTAATTGATTGAACAAGTACGGCGAGACGAGAATTGGAGAGTCGTGGGTGACAGATGGTGATGCGAGGAGTAGTATTGTATACAGGAAAATGGAACCTCAAGAGAGCATAAGTTTGAACTGGCATAAACAGCTTCAACAGAGCATCTGATGGTACACAAGGAACAAGGGTATGATGGGAATTGAAAGATCGAAGTGTTGTTGTTGTAGACAGATCGTGAAATAAGGAAACAAGTACGTTCGATGAAGTCAAAGTTTCTATCCACTTGTCGTTCTTTCGTTTTCGTAGGAAGAAGAGCGAGGAAGTAAGCAGAATCTTTAGATATCAATTGTGCGAAGAAATTAAGCTAACAAAGATGAATTTCATCCATTGTCTTCAACGTGGGCTACTTTGATGCTAGGAGGCTGGTAAAAAGCTACATAGATGATATATCGTCGCTGGTATTCGAAGGTGAAATGGAGTGAAGGTCTTCGTTTAAACAATGGTGAAGGACTCTGCGATATTCACCCTACATCGCATCTTTATCTCTTCCCAGCCCCCCTTCAAAGCCCATATGATATTGAGAAGCATTATAAAGCAAAATTGTAGTCATGTTGAGTACGATGTATGTATGCCTTGTTTACTATCTCTTGGATTTCTCTCCTCTCTCGCGACCTGAAGATTTCTCTGGCTTGTTTTGTAACGTAGCGCATTGCATCACACCATCTCCATGTTCAAATTCGAAGCTCATTTATCGAAGCTCTCACAGAATACTTTTGCCAAAACAAGCTTTCAGATCCTTTCTTATTTGCCTAGTAAGCTCATTGCTAAGGGCGTTTACATTATCCCATAGCACGTGACCGACTTCCTAGAGAAGCGAAGGGGTAAACCTTGGCATTATAAGTATCAAAATGAAAAGAGTCTTTTATAGACAAGAATTCAGAGCTGCTACTATCATAATCAGGAGTTTCGTGCAATTTCAACAGGGTTTACATTCCGTACTCTATAGTTTCAACATTCAAATTGACCAATTCAATTAAGATCATTCACACATACGTTTTCTTTTTCACTTTTTCGCCAAATTTCATATTCACTTTTCAAACAATTCCCTCAAAGTGAACATATCTGACCATGAACCAGAAGATTATTCACAGACGGCCGTATAACTCCTCTCAAATGACTGAAATTCTATCAAACGTAAGCACCAAGGCAGCCACATGGATGTTATGCTTGCACTGTCACGCACAATTTCTCGCTGTAGAATCTCCAGGTACGGCTCAAAATATGGAAATTGCCCCAGAAAACTTTTGATGATCTAGACTACCAATATGCGAGGGTGCTGTAGTGTTGGAGGTAGTGGCATTATGGCGGCGAGAATCCAGAAGTGCTGTGTTGATTGGACGACACCTGTCAGTCAACAGCACCTGGGTACTTGGCAAGGAATCTTTCATTTCAGAAATAGAATAACTGCGGATGAAGTTTGTTTTTGATCATTCAGTAGTTCACTTGAGGTTCATTCGTTGTCAAAAGATGAGCAACTGTGAGAACACAATATGGATGGACGATTCTTACGGAAGCTAACACAGCTTGATCTTTGCATGCCTACTTTATCATTTGATTGATCAATCGCACTTGTTTCTTGTATCTGATGTTTCCAGTGAAACTGTTCCGCCATTGATATGCATCATCCTGGTTACGATGAACGAACGTTCCCGGCGCGACAGGAACAAGGTATGATTTCAAGAGCTAAAACATATTACATTTCTACAAACTACAACAATGAAGTGTCATATTTTGGATGGAACTACCATATAGATATATACCTACTTGAGCAAAAGCATTATCCCATTGAAATCCTACAGAACACTATTGACTCCCATAATACACATCTTTTCTGATCAAAAGCAACAAGATTAAAAGCATCAGACGCCACCACTACAAAGTATCAAGAACCCCCCACCATCAGTATACAATTCCACTTTAAAACAAGAAACTCCCAGCACTCCTCCAAAAAAGGCATCCATTCTGGCTGCCACACCCCGCTTCTTCCATAAATCCAAACCACCTCTAAGTGCATTACTACCGCAATCTACCCACCACCAATATTCAAAACACTTCAGAAACCCTAACTCCCTTCTGGATACCAATATCCTTTCACTACCCCCTCCCCATATCATCCTCTATACCTAAAACTATTCCTCTCTTCTCTCTTCTCTCTCCCCCCAAACCTCTTTCCAAATCCTCACACCTCTCAGCCGGCCCAAAATCCTTCTCCCAAACCTTCTCACCTCCTATCCCTTATCCCCACCAAAAACAATCTTCCCCAATCCCTTGATTCCCAATCTCTCCACCCCTAAAGCGAAAAGTCGAAAAAATTCCAGCCAACACCACCAAAGACAAAACCCATCACCACCTCTTCCCAAATCCAATCTACCTACCTAGTATGTAAGCCGTACGCAATACACTCCAGCCCTATCCATAGTACAACACACATGGATACCAATTCCGCAACCCTTCCTCCTCTCCTCTTCTTTTTCTCCCTCAAACTTGAATCCCAATCCCAATCCAAGTTCCCCCTCAAAAGTCAACCCTAATAAATTTAACACCCATCCATCCATCTACACCACACCCATAATCTCCCACCATTCCACTCCATCCACAACCAACACTACCCCCAACAATGCCATACCCCCAACACTCCCCACATCCCCATCCACATCTACCACGCCTTCTCAATCCCAAAGCCCATCTTCCCATTCACGCACACCCCTCTTCCGAGGAACGATATCCCCCAAAAGATCTATAAAATAAAGATGAAGATCAATCACCTTTGGTACCCAAAATCAGAGGTCGGGAGATCAGAAAATATATAGATAGATATCGACTAGACTCATCATGATGAATATCAGAATATAAGATTACATTTTATCAACACATTACTTGCTTATATGATGATAGATGATAGATAAATCGAATAAGGAATGATGAGCTATGTAGCAAGTAGAATTCTTCCTCTTTCCTCTTCCCCTTCCCCTATTCCCGCACAGTTACCTAGTAATCACATCTCTAAAGCCCCGACTGTTAAGCACCCTCTTAAAGCTCAGCTCCTATGAATTTCAAAATGAAGAACATACAAGAAAGCAAAGCCATTATGATTAGAGACAGAACCTCCAAAACTAGTCGTCGATACAAAAATCCCATTACACACCCGTAACACATCACCCCACCCAACCATAGTATAATAACACGATAAACACACCGACCCACAATAACATAAATCATCTTCATGCCTATTGAACAACTTTAATTGATTAAAAATAATAACTCTGGATATCATAGCAATAAGATTAAAATAGTTTTATGCCCTGCACAAGCTATCTCTTCAAAGACCTCCTCCCCCTCCCTCTACCAATCTATCCCTATATATCCCCGTTCCAACGGAGTACCTCTAAACTATCAAGCCTCCCACCCTCGCACCAAAAAAAAAAATATGAATGCTAGCCGCCAAATATATGCAAGAGCGAAGCAGAGCTTATACTGACACAGAATCAAGTAGCTTAAATCGCACCACCACTCAGGACCTCCCTACCTAATACTTCCACCTCTCCACTATCTGCTGTTCTTCTCCTTTCCAAGACCCATCTTTCGCCTTTGATAGGATCATCCTCTTTCATATAGCTAATCGACTCTGCGCTTGTTGTAGATTTATGTTGTTTGCTAAATGATGGTCTTTGAACCTTTTCAACATCCCCTTCATTTTCATTCCCAGATGATACATCTCTCGCTGTAGTGTTCCCTTGTTCTGACTCAGGGGACGATTGATTGATGTTCAAATTTCCCATACCACCAATCCCATTCTCCATCTCCTCATTTACAAGACCAAAGGCGCTACTCTTTCTGCGACTCCAAAGTGATTGTACAAGCGGTCCTGCAGCCACAGGACTGCCACTCCCGTCAACACTCTTTGGACTAGCATTTCCATTCCCATTGCTTCCCAAACTTTTCACGCTGGCTTGACTTCCACCCCATGCACGACTTCTCAACTTCAACAATGCTTCCATACTCATATCCGAGCCCTTCTCATAACTCTCCGCAATCATCAACTGTGCTAAGCCCGGACTAACCATGGGAGAGCTACCTGACGGCGCATGAAGATGTGATATCGACATGAAAGAATTACGATTTGAATATTCCGAGCGCTCAGTGATAGGTGTGAGATTAGGTTCTCGAGACGCAATTCTACCGCTTTGATTTCTAATCATCCCATCCATTCCCCTTGGATCAAAATATCCACCATTGACATACTCTGCAGAACTAGCCGCAGGGTGTGAGTAAAACCCAAATTCTTGACCATAAAATCCATCCTGGTCGTTTGCAAGCGCTTCTGCATTGGCAGCAGCGATGAATTCATCGTCTTCTAATGCATCATCATAATCGAAATCATCATCGTAAGATGGGGATAGATGTTCATATTGGGAAGAAGTATGACCAGAATCGGTAACCAGACCCGGTTGATTTTCTTCGCGATCCGAGTCAATGTGAAATAAACTTTGCGTACTATCGCGTCTAAATTTGCCACTGGCAGCTGCACTGAAAGCAGCCGCTGCGAGGGAGGCTTGGTATGCAGCAAGCTTATCTTGCGTCAAGGATTGAGTTATTAGTTGAATTGGAGCGGCATCTGAGGTTCTATTTTCAGAGAAGGATGGTTGTGGTACTAAACCTCCAACTGGGCGATTAGTTGTTGGAGACAGCGGTGATAGGGTGTCCTCTTTGAGTTCCCCTATTGTACCTGCAAAACTAGTCGGAACGACATTAGACATTTGTGCAGCCATGAATTGATCTTTTATTGGGCGTCCATATTCATCCGTATCATTGTTGTCAAATAAAGACTCATCAAAACCGCCAGCATCTCTACTCTCATGACCTTCCGCCTCCAGACCAATCATGCCATCATCAAAATATAGGTCATCATCGTCATCAAGTCCTGCGACGTACGGGAACAATGTTGACTTGGAGCTTTGTTGTTGGATGATATCATCTTGTGATTCATGTGGAACCTCAGTGACTATACCAAGGCCCTGAAATTTTAATCCTACAATCGATTTCCCTTCAGGCAGCTGCTTGTCTGGGAGGTACAAATTACCATCTGGAGAGATTGGTGTGAAAATAGAACTAGGAGGATCTGACGTAAGACAGGGCGAGTACTTCGTCATAGCGAAACCAATAACTTCTCCACTAGAATCTCGAGGTGTCGTCGCAGCTCCAGGAGTATACGGACTCATAGGACTAGGTACGTGTGGTTGGAAGGTAAAGCCTGCAACATTTCCATCAAGCAGGCCCGGTTGCGCTTCATCTTTAACGGCAGCGAGTTGTTCCGTCTCTTGCTGCTCTTCTGTTTCTTCTATCTCTTCCAAGTCACTAGTGTTAATGCCTGGTATGTCTTCCTCATATCCACCATCGAATCCTGCAAAGGCGTCCTCTTCGTCATAATCAGCATTGACCCCCGGTATTCTCTCCTCCAACCCATCATCATCCATCATATCATCATAATTAAAGTCGTCATCCTCGTCATAAATTTGTTGATCGTCGTTACTGTCCAAATTGTTCTTTTTCTCCAACGCCTTCTGACGATGTCTATCTTCAAGCAGGCGTTCCTGTTCCGCAGCTCCTATCATATCGAAACTGAATCTCGAAGATGTGCTCTTCATATGTTTTGGAATATCTTTTGCCGAAACGTCAGATACATTTCGTGCTCGACCACCATTTTTCGACGACGGACATGCTTTAGGTGGAGTTGATGCTGGGTCAATTGATATATGTTTCGATTCAACTGGGCCAGGAGTTTCGGCTTTTGGTAGCACTGAAAGTCCAGCCTCAGAGGATAACCTTTGTGCACTCAGCCTCTTTAGATCTCCGGCTTGCAACTCATCATTTCCTTTGGACGCCGTGCCTTGATCAACTGGTCTTTGAATTTCTCGTGCATACATAGGCTTAGGCGCAGTGAGATCAGATAAGTCATTAGCTTTCCGTACATGAGGACCAGCGGCGGGATATTGCTCCTCTTCAAAATTTTCCGTGAATACTGGTGTGTGATTTCCTGCTTTATCGCTTGTAGCTGAATCCGCATAAGGACTCCTTTGAAACGACCTGGTTCCATCCGCTGTATTGATATCATTATGGGAGACGTTCCGTCGTGGTCCCCTCGGCGCACTAAAGTCGTGGACAACTGTTCCTTTGATTCGAGGGTCGAAGTTATCATTCGTATCGAAGTTTGTCGTAAGTGATTCCGGTTTTAATTGAGTTATAGCCTGGGAGGTTCTTCGTCGGGCCAGAAGAGCCATAGGATTCAACATCTTTAGCCTTCCTTTAGATGATTGTGTGGGAGGCGCCTCGAGGGTTGGAGAAGGGATTCGAGCACCCGTAGGTCGTCTCCCAGTTGATTTAATATCTAGATCTGGAGTCATCGATCCAAAAAACTTCTTCGTATTCGAATCGTAAACGGCATTGGACTGTGGTCTAGAATGGTCAGATCCAGCATTTCTGGTCGGTACTGGTCCTGCATTTTCCGCAGATTCAGGCCTTTGATTGCTCGTATGTAATGGCGATTTCTGGCAGTTTCCAAACTCCGAAACTCCCTTTTGCCCATTATTACTTTTCGCATCACCCCAGTTCTGCCCTCTTGGATCATGGCTATGTGTAGTGATCTTCCCATTGAAACTCAAATTCTCAAAGGTATTCCCATACCCCGCGCTCGAAACTCGCGCGACTGGAGGTAAGAAGGGAGAAGAGGCAACAGGCGACGATTCATCTTCGAATCTAGCATCATGAGGTCGTGGAGGATGGCCATGGTCTGGACGTGCTGGCGGTTCAAACCTAGGCGCTTCTGGAATCGGGGATGAAGGGGTCGAGGAAATGCGCCGGTGAGGTCGTAAATAAGAAAACATCCTCTTGTCGTGGGAGCTCATACAAGAATAAGCAAGGTCGGAGAGTTGTTTTTCAGCAGATTCTCGACAACACCTTTAGGTTCAATTATTTAACCTTTTCACGTTCATCGTTATTCGCATAGGTGATTCAAGGCCAATTTGTTGGCTGGTCGCAGAAGATAGAGTTTCTTCGAAAAAATCGATTGTATATTTAGGGATACAACTGCGCAAGACAGGTACTATAGGATAGAGAGGATTGGATTGGATTGGATTGGATTGAATGGTAAGGTTTCGGATTGTAATTATTTAGTTGAGTGGTTTACAGATTATAAATTATAAATTATAAATTGTAGGCTTCGTGACGTATTTTTTCCCAAGCTCGATTTATGGAAGCTTGTTCCACTAACCCTGAATTTAGGTTTCAAAGGCCTGCTGTGCAATCTCACACCACCAGGTTTTTATCGCGGCGCACACAGGAGGTAGCGGATGGATCAATCATAAGTAGATGGACGGATACAAAGATAGACCAACAGATTAACGAATAAATAGAGATAGTAGATAGATAGATAGATAGATAGATAGATAGATAGATATACATACCTAATAGACAGGATAAAATATACACGAGAACCCCCTGAAAAGGAGATTGATATGCTTGCTAGAAGTAAAATGAGCCTAGGAAAGAAAAAAGATATACCAGGTACCCAGATCTCTACATCTACATCTAGGTGCTAGTAGTAGGTGATAGTAGTGGGTACTAGGTAGGTACATCTAACTGATATCTACGAGTACCTACCTACCTACCTAGGTAAACTACCTGCTGTATCTACGTACTATCTTCGATAACAACCGAGCACTGTGCCTGTAGTGTAATTTGCGATTACCTGCATTTACACCACGGAATAATGGATCCCCCTCTAAAAATAATCTATATAAGATTACTAGGTAGGCTTGTAGGTCCTCAGTAAAGTAACAAGTAACATTACCTACTTATGCCCAGGTCACAGTTGAATAAACGGCTTCTTATCAATTACAGCCTCTTGGAAACGGTACTTGTTTAGATATTATACCTAACCTGCATATTTTGGCAGTCAACTCTAATGATATAACTTGTGCCGCATCCTCAACATATCTATTAACACTTTGAACCTCTCGAATTCTTTAGTAAAAATCATGCAACTGTAGATTTCCTTGGCTGCTAAGAATACCGAAGAAGAATATGTCATACATAAATAGCCATCTCAACTTTCTCAATCCCTTCCTTCCTCTATCAAATGAGTCTCGACAGGTTATAAAGTCTTTTTAACTTCATACCTCAACAATGATGCCCAGCTATCATTTGTCTCCCAAAAACGCCTCTTTCGACAAGCCTATCGAACTATCTCCATACCATTGAATACCCTGCCCTACCCTTTGATATTAATACAAGTTCAGCTAATCCACATCCATTCCCGTGTCGCTAGCTTCTATCTCGGTTTCGTCTCCGCCAATTCCCAACAATGATTTTTCCATCGGATCAAGACCATCCTCGTCATCATCAGATACCAACCCCAAAAGCTCCTTATCCATATCATCAAGATCATCATCCCCTCCTCCCTGTACGGTAACATGTCCATTTGCCTGGTGCTTTGGATTATGAATCACTGGCTCGTCGGGCTCATCTTCGGTTTCGTCGCTATCTCGTGCGCGATGACCGTTGATGCCATTGCTTGTCAAGATGCGGTTGGTACCGATAACTCCAAGATTCAAGCCCTTTTGACCATCCCAACGATCAAGCCTTCTCCCGGCACGTCGAAAAGCAGCTGCATACGCTGACACTTCTTCTCCAAAATCGTCCTCTTCGGCTTCGAGTTGAACTAGACCACCGAATCCTCGTTCTTTGAATGGGTAAGGATTCCTGTGATAGGTGTCATCCTCACTATCGCTGAATGGATCTGACATTGCATTCACCCTCTGGTATGCGCGAGCAAAAACGCCCTGTTGCTTACGCAACTTTCTCGCCGCGTGGTGTGCCTTTCTGATACCACGACTTAGAATATAATCGACTCGCTGGTTCCTGTTCCGCTCTACGGCGATTTGATGTGCGGTGAGCGGTCGATGTCGCCTGGAAAGAGTAGCTGGCACCTCTGGCGCTGGAGATGAACCTTCACCAGACTTTGCGCCTCGATATCTGGAGCCTGCATTAAGAACACTGTTAATACGCATGTTGCTGGAACCAAAGGCTCGAGGGGGCGGGGTTGAGCGTGTGCTGTCAAGATCGGAGTCGTGTCTGGGGCGAATCTTACTAATCAAACCAGCAGGAGTTCCAACTACATCATCATAACGAGGCCGAACACGACTCATAATAGTAGATGAATTGGAACCCTCATCGAGCGGTAAGTTGAGCTTTGGCTTAGGACCACGTTTCGGAGGACCATTTTCTGCTTGGAAAGCGATTTGGTCTGCTTCAATGATACGTTTGCGTTCGCGCATCTTAGTGTGACCATACTCTAGCTCTTCTTCCGTATCAACGTTCTCCAATAATTCTTCTTCTTCTGTCATATCCTGTAGTCGTGGAACACCCTGATTTCTGACGTCGGTATCATAATCTACGCCAGACCCAAATGGATTCTCATCTGCCCCTTCTTCCGTAAAATCCGACTCGAGATAGAACCACATCAACCATAAGAACGCCTTTGCCCTTGACTTGCTAGTAATTTGAGTGTTCATGATTAGATCGTAAAATTCACGAGTTGTGGGAAAATGCAATTCTGTAACCTTCGTGGCATGGTTAGTAAGAACGAAGATAAGGTTGACTGGATTTGTTCGAGGAATCGGTGTTGATTTGATCTTTTCCAATGTACCAGGTTCAGGACGATCCTCAGATGCACCCTTCAGTATAGATTTGAGTCGAGGCGCATCTTGAAGCTGCTTGTAAGAGTTCGGATCTTGTCGAGCTTGCAGAGATGGAATGGCGTGATAGGTACGCAGTTGTGCTCGCATCTCTGGAAAGACTAAAACTTTATTAATGTGCGAAAATACGAAGAAGATAACCAACTCACAATTCAAAGTGGTATTCATGCGACCAAGATTAACCAAAAGGCACACCATTGCCATGTTCTTTGCTGGCTCATGCTCGCTCAGCAATTTATCCCTCAAGATCTTACTCGTCTTACTACTCCTAGCCATCGTATCGATATAGAGGTCTGCGAAGGTCTGTTTCGGCAGGGTATCATCGTAACCGTTTGTGAATACGGCGTTGTCGTCTTCAAAGATAAGCTTCAGAAAATCATACTGGATGTCCTTCCTCCATAGAGGCTCTCCGTCATCCTTTTTCAGATGACGAATCTTATTATTCTGAGGTCCAAGATTCCCTTGCATAGTAGAGGGCTGATCTTTCGCCGATTTATTACGTGAGCGCGACGACGTATTGCCAGCAGGTGTGGTTGAATGATTATCTGGGACGGGTGTTCTGCGTTCTTCGTCTTCCGTCGTTATATCATTTGTTGGTTTGGTCCTTGTTGATGGAGGATTTTGGGGAGAGTTGGTATTAGTCGTAACATTTTTTGAGGGCGAGGCTTTTGAGTTTGAACGAGTTGGTGATACATCTTCCTTGTCGGAAGCGACAGTGACGACTGGATCTTGTGAATCTGCCATTTCCCGTCGCTACTGCATAGGACCGAATAGCAAAGGAGAAGGATTCAAAGTAATAGTAACGGCAAAAGCAAAAGCAATTGTATCGATAAAATAATGGATGTTGGAACCAAAATCTCGTTTGGATTTAGTTATTGTAGAAATTAACATTCGAATTGAAATTTCGTTGAATTAAAATAGAATATTGATGGAAAAAGATTTTAATTGCAAATTGATCAAAAGATAAAGGATAAAAGATAGTTGGAATGGACAAATGTTGTTTGATGGAAGTTGAAGCTTCGAATTCAATACTTTGGATTCTACATTTTGACTTAATTAGGATGGTAGCTTTATTAATTATTATCATTAGTATTATATTAGGTCATTAGCTGTGTGGTGGACTGAGAGTACTCTGTAGGTAGTTTCAGGCATCTATGGTCTTTATGGGTCAACGTATAAGCTACCACACGATGAGCTAGCTTGCTTGCCAGTCCAGCTCCCCTTATCAAATGGATAAAAAGGCGAATATCGTAGCTAAAGGTACCTAGGTATGGACAACTAGCATTCAATATATATGTAGAATCTTTCAACTAAGGCCAAGCTGTCAGGTGTATCACAGTCACAGGATTGAACGCTTGCTCCATTCCCTTCCATTTCAATCTAGAAATATCTCTGTCTGCATTAATCCGTAACCTTACCGAGTAGACCATCGATATCTCATTCTCAATCTCTTCCTTGGGTTACTAATTAATCACCATTACTCACTTTACGCACGTAGTCCCCCTCGCTACCAACTGAGAGGAATACAACAGACCCGGCCCCGCCTAGTAATACACATTGCCCATGCCTTACACACCTAGTGATCCTTCGTGATGGGAGCATGGAACATCAGCTGAAACTTTGTTACGACTGCTGTCTGGACTCTGCAGATGATCGGTATTTGATCGAACCAACTACCTAGTGCCTCCCCGACACCGTATGCACCTACCACAATCTGGCGTTAGAGTACTCGTTACACGCCTTACCATTCAACATTAAATGTTCCCTGTTCCGCCACTCCGAATCTTCCTTCCACCATCTATACCCTGTTTCCGTCGTCAAAAATGCATCAATCCGCTTCCTAAGGATCCGTCGGATTCAAGGCATATCCGTTCTCCACACAAACTATACGAGAACTGCCGTTAAGCTCTCATCTCGTTTGTTTTCCTATCTGGAATGCTCATCTACTTTAGAATTAGGGCTGAGTGAGATGGGCAACAGAACCTGTCATATCTGGTAGCACGACATAAGAACCTCACAAAAGCATAGCCTCGGACGTTTATTTCCCCCCACCAATCCTGGCAAGAAATGGCTTGACAGATCGTAATAACCACATCCTCCTTTCTATCTGTCGTACTCATTGCGAACTTCATTGTCATTGTGTGACTTCTGTAGGATGGTAATTGTATCGTTAAGTACTAGATTGCCAATGGTTACATTAACATTCATGATTGACGTCCATGAGACAACCATGTGGTGGCTTCATCAGGGGTTAGCGAGTGCGGTATTACCAGACGCCTATAATGTCACAAATTCCATGTTTTATCGAAGGCTTATGTAAAAGTTCTTGCATTGGAGGAAATCTATATAGAAGTGTAAAAGTACAAAGTGAGCTGAATTTACAAATTTAACTCTGGATATTGGAGCCACGCGAAAATAAGCACCATAGAACATAGGAAAGCTAATATTACATGAGAACAGGCATCAATTGATTTCTGCCAAAAAAAAGGCTGAAACTTGAATGAAGAAAAGTAGTAAGAAATTGCGTAAGTATATCGGGGCATGGTGTCGTTAAATCTATGCTCCTTTTTGTTGCATGTCCACCGTGTGTATCGATGAAAATAAATTTTTGAAGGAAAGTCGAGAATAAGAAACAGTCTAAGAGTGTAATACAGCGTACAATCCAGACTATAAAAGCAGCCTGGAAAACTGTTCCGAGGTCGTCACATATAATTAGGTCATTCCAGGTCGCGCACCGTCGTGGCTCTTACCCAATGACCAGGTGAGTCATATTGGCTTGATCAATAACCTGAAGTTCCGCTACCGCTGCCAGCTGCACTCCCATAATCGTAATAGGCCTCATCATCTTCATAGGAAGCCGCTTCTCCCCTGTAATAACCTTCCCTTTCATAAGCTGCGTCGGGGTTTTTATAATAGCTTGTCTCATCGTCTGGCCGAGACCCGTGTCTGGATGCATCCTCTTGAGCTCTACCTTTCGAAACGACATGCTTCATGGAGACAGAACCCCATGGAGAGCCACCGGCATCGGCATTGTCATAGTATACATCATTCGAGTCAGCAGTATGATAAGAATGGCCTGCGTGGGCACGATTTTCATCATCTCGGTCTTGACGCTCCTTGTCCGCTTTCGTCTTGTCGCCTATAAAATATTAGTAACTTGCTGAAGCTTGAGTAATCGGTGATAACTTACGGAACTTTCTCTGCGCTAACTTGTTCTGCACCCTTCTTCGCTCTTCCGGATCTGTGATACCAGACCAGTCGTCTTGCTTTGGCTTTGACTTATCAGAAGAGGAGCTTTTTCCCTTGCCAGATGAAGATCGATGGGAAGAAGACATCTCTGGTTCTGTCTAAGGTATTAACTTGAGATTTGACTCTAACTTGATGATTTGACTGCGGTCAGGATCCTCAATCGTAATGCAAGGAGCTTCGGTTGCTTCTTCTTGTTCAATTGAAGTTTTGGTTTGCTCTAACTCATAAGCGCCGGCCCTTTCAATGTTCATGTACTGACATCAACAGCGGAATTTGATACTTTCGTTGAGATCTCCAACAACCAGACTTTCGAGAATAATATGATGAGGATAATAACCGCGCTATGTAATTTAACTTGATAGATGTATGCGGTGCTTGAGGCGCGGGAAAAGTAGAGCAACGAGTGAAGATGTAGATGAAAATGCTATAGCTTTGTTGATATCATAAGAAGATGATTGATGGTAATGATGAGCTGATGGTTATTTGGTCAAAGGAAACTTCCCTACTTTATAGAAACCATACAGCGGCGCGGAGGGCAGATTTGTTCATCACTCTTTGATATCAACAGATATATAAAGATCTCCATAAGCATACTGCAAAAAAGAAAGCAGACAAAGAGTGGATGGAGCGACAAACAGAAGCACTGCCTCCAGACGGATCATAGATATGACCGCCATGAAAACGTGACTGACTATAGGTGGATAAGAGTAGTATACGACTGAACGAACTATCGAGACGGTCCCCGTTCCTCTAAGGCAGCCTCACCTGAATTGGACTACAACCTGATCCAACCTGATCCAGTGATTGGACTAATAAATGTACATGTGACCTTGTATAGAGAAACTCCTCCAAATCTGGGACGAGATGGGAAATACCGAACGAGGTAGAAAGGATGATGAATCTAGGATCAAAGTGATAGTGGAGTTTCAAATCGATGAGATAATGGCCTGCGGTGTGGTGGGGGCCATCCGTTCTTAGAGGAAGATGGGGAGGGATTGACAGGAATCCTTCCTCGCGGCATTGCCGTTTTCGACCGTTCTAAATCAGAAAATTATATGATTAAGCTTGAATAAACAAAAATTTGCGGTTTTTGTTTCGCCATGAATGCCGAGAACAAGAGGATAATTGGAAAGCTACTTGTGGAAATGGTAGCGAGTACCCACTGTTTTTCGAAGATGTTCAGGCAGAGACTCGGTTCCTGCATAGGCTCGTGTACACTTGGCTAGGCTGGACAAGGGATCAATTTAATGGGAGATCAGGCAGACAAGTCCCATGTAGAGAAAAAAACATTCAAGATCAATGAATAGACTCATCTAGATACGGTCAGTATATCAAGTACACTTATTATTCTGTAAATGTACCATCTAGGTATCCTTTCCTGAGGTAAGTAGTCGTCTGAGAATGCCAGCGATACATCACGAATCAGTTCACCGGACTCGTCAAACTTTTCTACTTTCGAAGGACACCATCGTATACAGGCCTCAGCTACACTCCTAGATGTTCTTTAATGCATTGCGCCGTATGGACACTTACAATTTTGATCACTTGTTCTGAGATGAGATGACGCACACATACATTACCAGTTCGACTATTTGACTCGGGACCCGTAAATGACTAAACGAGGTCGTGATGGAAATGCTTGTTAAAATCCAATTTGAGGTGCCACTATTCGATCAATTAGTTTGAAGAACGAGAATACATCAGACGAGAACATATCAAAGAGCCTTGCTGTGCCAAAGAGGCACAGATTGGTACACATTTGGCTTCGCTCCTGCGCGAAACGAACGACCTTTTGCTAGATGAGTATGGGATTGGCCAGCTTAAGCTACCTAAATTGACTATTATTAGCTTAGTAACGTCGCTTCTTATGGTTTCCAGGTATTCCCGAGGTCTCCGACGCGAGTCCCGGCCGCTGGGTTAGTCCAAGTTGGAGTCTGACTAGTTGCTGACCTGCAATGTGTTCTTTCTAATGATTGCGAGTGGGTTGTGTGTACAAAATGTATGGCATCAACTCTAGCGAGATACTCGAGTAGTAATCTGGAGGAAAGATCCTCCGGCCTTGCAGGAGATTTCCCAGCACAGCCAGAACCTGGCGTCATCCACAACCATAAAATCAACCAATACAGCTCCATTTACCATATACAAAAGAGAAGGAATTCTGAATACTTAAAGCCAGCAAGCAAATTTCACTGTAGATGTGGTATCGGGCATATTTTAGCGCAATTGCTACAGTGGGAGGAGTACGAGGGAGGGAGCACGAGCGAGCTTACGAAGGCTGCATCCGGGGAATCGTGAAATAGGAAGCCATGTATCCCGATCCCGTACAGGAATCGCTAGATTTCCGAGAAATCAAGACCAAGGCTAGTCTATGGAAAAACATCGAGGCAAATCTAGATCAATTGAGGTAATACGGCCAAAGGCGGACGGGAGTGGCGTTAACTTGACGTCTACGCCGCGAAACTGTAATCTCACGTGGCCCTAGTGCCGACCTCACT